AGGTAGATATGGCTCCAGTAAGTTTGCTAGACGTAGAATGTGATGGGAATGTCACAACAGTCTATAAATAGAGACGATAGTCAACTAATAGTTCAATTATCATATCCACAGGCATGATAGAACGAGGCACGTGTGTACAAGAGTGTATTTATTTATGAGCAGTTAAAATGTCATGCTATGTTGAATTCAAAAGCGGAAAGAAGTCGGTAAATGTTCAAGGTCACACGCTTGAACAACAAGTACAATCGTTTTAGCGATAAATATACATAATGTGAAAATAAACAAAATAAATGCAAAAGCTATCAAAAATTGCTTACAAAATAGGTTTATTAGGCCTATCTTCACAGTATCAGCGTCATAGTATTCACACGTCTTCCCAGCTATTCTTGCTGTTAACAAAGGTTGGAAAATTGTTCATTAACGTATATACGTCCTGTTTGCTGGCACATATTCATCATGGTTGCTAATATGAGTAGCCGTGATATATACTCAACCTAGACCTCACAAACAGAAGCTAAAGCAGCTGGAATTTACGGTTAAACATATTGCGAAATAATCGGAGTCAGGTATGGTTGTAATGGTTTGAAGAGATCAATAGTCATAGGTTTAAGAAAATGGTGTTGCAAAAATTAATTACGATCGAAGGTTTCCAGCTAGTAATGAGGGGTTTAAGAACTGTGTCAGTTGTTTTCCAGTTTTCCCATAAAGCAGTCTGCCAAAATGGGACCAAATGCAGGCCCTATTGCCATCCCATCCCTTTGTCTATATCTTTCATTGTTGAAACTGAACTGGACAATAAAGATACAACGTACAACTAGTTCCTTCAAATGACCAGTCGGCAGACCTGGTTCTTTGTTGTTAGGACTATTACACTCACATATAGAGCATATCGTTTCGGTCAAAGGTAAATCAGTAAACAGAAAATTAACGTCAAGCAAGAACATTTGTTTTCCGGAAGTATTAACGTCCTTAATAAGATCAGTAAATTGAAAAGAATCATAAATAGAATCTTTGGACACTTCCGTTCTAACCGGTTCAAACTTTTCGGGCAACCTATAGGCGATTCGGTGGTATGGTGAATTCGACATATCCAAAATGGGTGGCAATTGTAAACCAGGTTTATGTACTTTCGGTAATCCATACAGAAGCGGGATGATCAGACCAAATGGACGTATGTAGTCATATAAGTCTAGGTTTATTATCCCCTTATTCTTTACATTTTTAACAACATCAGCTAGCCGGTTTTCGATTTGCATTGTTTTGTCTATTTCTTTTTTAGCCTTGGAAAATTTGGTGTCATTCTCTAAGATCAAACTTATTTTACAGGAATATTGTCGACGATCAAGAAGTGCTCCACTAGCTCCTTTGTCAGGACTACATAGGATCGAAGCCTTATTTCTTTTCACGAGCGTTCGCTGATCCAAATGACTCTTAGTTAATACGTTATTCTTACTACACTGTGTACTAATGTATCCATGACCACACTCCAGTAATATGGATTGAAAATGCTAAATATCTTGTGGGGATCTCGACATAAGATGATGAATTTGATCTGCTAGATTTTTCGACTTGCATTTGCGTACGAAGTCTGCTGGTTTTGCAGATGCTATCGTAAAACTTGGGACCCAACGATAAAGCCTGCATTTGGATCGACAAAATTGTAAAAGAAGAGTGGTCAAATACGTACCTTTCGGGATGTTATGGAAATCTTTTAATTACATCGACGTTTTGTAAGATTTTCAAGTGTTTACGTTTAGCTTTCTGTGATTGTTTTTCGGTAACATAAGCAACATAACCCTTAAATTGTTTATGTTAATTTATGGACTTCAAATAATGAATGACTTCTCAGAGATATATGGCGCTCTAGTCCAACTAGTTGAGGTCTAATAACATCGATACAATTAAGTCTATAATGTTTGAGTGTTTTTTATTAGAATGGATGTGGTTTTGCCTTGGTGCCCTCCAGAAACGTTTGGGATAATTATCACTTTCGACACAGCTTTCGAAATGTTGTATATACGATTCGACCAAATCTGCCTTGATTGCTTCGAACCTAACTCCCAAAAATAGTAGAAGCCCTCACTCTGCATCAGTTCAGGCTAGCACTATGAGTATAAAAGAAGTACATCCCATAGTTATGGTCACCTTGGCTTTAATCTATTATTATTGCATTTTCCACCCTACTTATGTTTCGTATTATCATTATTTTATCCATAATCGCTCATTGTATCACTCCATTTATTTCGCGCCTCTTCGGTTGTTGTGGCAAAAACATTCTAATCATCTTATTGCAGTCATGTCATGATTCGTTACTAACTTATTAATTCTATTGTAATTATTCACATTGTGTAATCTAGTATTATAATCTTTCGATACATCATCATGTTTGTTCCTTGTTCACATATCCTCACGGAACTAGTGCTTTATAAAAACACTTTCATGTGTGTACGATTGCACGGCTTGATAACAAACTCGTTGTAAAGAGATCCCTTCTCTGAACATCGTTAGTTCGGTGTTTAAATCGGAATTGCCCTCAATTGTCAGCAGCAAACATTCCCAAAACGTACGGGGAATGTGCCTCAATATCAGTGACGGATATTCACACAGTCACAACTAAAGGACTGTAAACTGGTATGGAAACCGCCTAAGGAAAAGACTATGTACAACAAAGATAAACAGTTATAAAAAGACTGAATAACATTAGGAAGTCAGCTACGATCCAGAATTTGCAAAGTATATCGCAATGATGATTATGTACAAATCAAGATGGAAACAAATATACTAAGACATCAATAGCACCAGGAGAAACGATGTATAAAACGCAAGAACAAGTAGGTAGCCACAATGAAAAACCTACATGGAGGGATTTGCTCACATTTTGACAGAGGGACATACCAAGATGAATTTTATAATGTCAGGGCTACTGAATTCTTCGAGAAATCAGTGCTTAAGCTAGTAAGGAAGATAAGTTTGTAGGCAGGGACATACATATTCTGTCATGTATACTCACTTCTATCAGCATGAAAATACACAAACAAACGCAAATGTTACGGATCTAAATGACAGCACGTCTGCCAAAGTGGTTAATTTAAGAACTTGTTTAATTTGAACGTGTGAAACTTCTGTATAAACGAGGATACTATGGTGTTACAAACACCTAGGCACAAAACTTACCATGTGTTTTAGGAATCAACGGAGCTTAAAAAGCCTTATTTCTACGTGGGCGTTATGTTCAGTAAACTTTGCTACCATAGTAATGGACTTAATCCCAACACTGTTGATTTGTCACGACGTGACTACCTAATTTATGGGACCTTACATGGAAGTCACATAATAGTCTATACTGACTCGTCTCATCGTGATAGTTGGCGACGTAACGTCTAGCACTTCAGGAGGATATATTTGTCCTGGGAAGTGAGTAATATATTTGATACAAAATGACGGAGGTTACATATAACCATACCATACCGATCGAGTCTTTGCGTTCACTATTTTTACCTTCCGTATATGTTAAATACCAAGCGTAAATCTTCTCAGTAATCTTATGTTCAGCTTCAAAGATCATGTGTTTAAAAATCAATACCACCACGGACTTTCCAAACTTTTTGTTTTTGCAGATGTTATCAATCTGGTCACCTGGAATGTGGTCCGGTGAAACTCAAATAGCCCTGTGCACGTGCTTGTGGGGGATTTCTTACCACTAACCATTTTGTCGAAGGCACATATATCTTATAAATCTTCACAATCTCCGTTCCTTTTTCCCAGTTCAAGTCGTTCCATGATCTCTGTATACACGGAGCTGTTCATCACAACCTTGACCTTCAGGTCTCCCTTCAGGATAGTCAAATCCTCATCTGGGATAAATTAAAGTCCCCCACAAAATAAGTAATTATCTTCTCCACTTCGACAATTACAGGAGGCATAGCGCTAGACGAAATACGCTGCAATCCTGTTCTTTTTTTCTTTGAAGGATGCTTATTCCAAACCTACCCAAGTTGTATCTCCTCATATGCACGGCTATTCGACTGGACCTCTAGGTCTCCCACATTGTCCGAAAATTCTACGTACCTACTTGAAGTATCAGTCTTGTTACCAGAATGGGGATTAGCCTCGTGACGCTCGTAGGATCTCGGCTTTCACCATGAGGCGTCATAATTCTCATAAATGAAGATATTTCAACTCCCGGTGCAAAGTTCAAAAGGTTTAAATTATTTTTAATGGTAAGCTCTTTTCTAATGAGGTTGTTTTATAAGGAATGAGGTAGCTAACATCATACCAAACCCTGTCCCTATATCCGGGTTTGGGACCGACAGTAACCCCAGAAGGACTCTAGGCTGTTTGGCCTGTCTTACCTACCGATAATGTCATGTGAAAATACACCAATATGATAGAATTTTTGTCCCTTAAGCATATTAACCTATTGGCTTAAGGTCCTGGAGTTATCTTCCAACAGCAAAAGATCTGGGGATATAGACTGTATCAAGGTTTTGAACAACGTATTCAAGGAACTCTTAAAATACATAGGCATCATTAATGTTATTCATTATATGCTTCCGAATATGGATAAAAAGCAAGCAGGGGAGGTCTATCGAATCCGTTTTAGAAGACTGCTATTTTTCTTCAGTGTTTTGTTCGAATAAAGGAAAATTTATCTAGCATTTATATAGTACAAGAGTTCATTTTTCATTGGAAAATAGTCCTTACTCTAGTAAAGGACAGATGCATTTATTAACCTTCAAGTTCTTTCGTTCTTTCATCTGAGATTCCGTGACATGACTGAAATAAAAGAAGGGTGTTAAGAGTTAATAGTTAGGCGGCTCCAAATCAAGATAGTGGTAGTAGTTTGTAATTATTATTAATAGGGAAGTCGACCTATTGCTGAGTTCCCTTGTCGAATAATCGAGTGTCGTTGAAATATCAGGAATACTACTTGAGGAAAACATTCTATTTATCGCTTCCAACGTGAGACTGGGTTTTGTTTAAATCTGCTGATGGGATTCAGATAAACAACCAGAGGGTTGTCCCTCGTAAGGTATGTTAACAGTGTCTCCAGTCGGAGAGGATTCTATTACTCTCGAGTTTCAAGTTCTTATACATAACAACGTCGTTTTTAACTAGTTCACACATATAATCATAAACATGCATCGCGCTAATGCAGTTTACATCTGCATCTTATTTGGTGAGTTAACTTATCCATACGTTTGATTAATTTACTGAACATCGGACTGTACTTGTTGGTAGTTATAAGGGAACTAAGTTTTAAAAAGTTTTTATGAGTTCCTTTCATCTTTCAGATCTTACATGGCAGATTCTGATGAAGAATCCGATCGCCGTCGTAGCCGTGACAAATTTCGTCGTGAACGTAGTGATCACGATGGACGTCGTCGTCCTGGTGACAAACGAGAGCCATTCGATGACCGATCAGGTACTGTAGGTGTTGCACCAACTCGTGAAGATCATCGTTTGTCAGGTGAAGGTCGGAATGACCGTGGACGATCACCTGCAGAACCTCCTTATAAAAGGCCTCGTAAAGATAACAGCGATGATTTTAAACCAAGTTCGTACCAGCGAAAGGATACCAAAGGTTCAAGTGCCTCAGAATACGACGGTATGTACAGGCCTCCAGTAATACCGTTTAAGCGGTTTCTTGATCCTTTGGATGACTTGATAACTGAAGAAGAGGCATGCAGTAAGTACAAAGAGTACAAGGAAGGATATATGAAGCGTCATACCGAGGAATTCTTCGAAGCACATAAAAATGAGGAATGGTAAGTCGGTATACATTGGTTTATTTGTAATTTGTCTCAAGCCAATTGTCATTGCTACCGGATGACATCAATAAACTTTCAGTTTATTTTAAACCTAAGTAGCAGTTTATAGTGTCTGTATTACTTTCAAACTCATCGCGTTCTGACAACAAATGATCATTAGTTGTCGTTGGTGTAACTTGTTCTCGCTAACGCTAACGGTAGATATGAAAAGAACATTATCGAACTTGATATCTTCGGTCTTCAAAATCACAGGTTGAACTAGTGCAGCTGATTGGGAATTTGAAGCTTTTTTTGGCTGGTTCAACTAATACGATATCACACTTAGTAAACTTGGTTTTATGCTTAGTTTGTTTGAAGCACCTAAAACAATTTTAGAAATTGAGTCTGTAAGTTTTCGTTCATGATGAGTTGGTGGTTGTTTTTGACCGTAGAGTACCTCCAAAGTACTTACGTTTTAGCTCACATCTGGTAATTAAGTCACATTATATATTATCTTGAGTTAGGAGTTTAGGCCATCTGTTTTTTCTCAACTATGTCTAAATATTTAGTCATCATATTCTATAGTTGTCAAAGACAGTATTTTATGCTGAATATATTCTCTTTGGTCATATCTAGCAACCAACTTAAGTAGACACGAAGTTTACCGTTTTGGTTTTAAAATTCCCTGAAATATCTTAATAGTGACACACATTTATGCACTTATATTGTTGTACAGGCTTCGTCTCCGTTATCATCCCGATCACATGAATGAAAGAAAAGCCGCTCTTAGCGCAGCAGTCAAGCATCGTTTAAATGTTTTCATGGAGCTTTTACATAAAGGCTTTCTCGAAAATCAGTCTGTTCAGATGGACAATAGTGAGAATCTCATAAAACTCATGGATGCTGTTGTTATCAAACTTGAAGGTGGTTCTGATGAAGACCTAAAGGTACTTGAAGAATCTGATCGTAATAGATATTCAGACGAAGAATTAGTGCATCAGTCTCAGGTAGGTTGCTTTGGACTGCCGTGCCCAATATGTTAACGAATTTTATAACGTTTTTTGTTCTTGATTAGTTCTGTTTGACTTAGGGATGCATGCACTCGATATATTTATGTTTAGCAATTTTTGGCTATCGTATTCCATTTCACAGGGCTCTTGTGACAAAATTCTCCAAATCTTTTTCTAAATAATAGCATTTTAAGTCTGTTCGATGGTTCTTTCAGTGACTAAATTACATGGGATTCATCATTTTTATGTATTTGCTTTCCACACCTACTTTTGGAATTTTGTAGAGATTAAATTTCACTGGATACTTAGAGAAACGAATCTGTTTCGTAGTTTTCGAACTCTAATCTATGCAGCTTTGTTCCATGATTCAGTGAATATTTGTTTTAAATTTCCCTTAATTGTCTCTATAGTCCTCTGGACCTATTTGTTGTGAAAATAAAAGTGAAGGAGAGGCTGAATCCGATGTCGACTTCGAACATGAGAAGCTCAACACAGAACTTACTAGAAACGTAATGCCGGAACCTCTTCAAACTCAAGGTTCTACTGTAGAGTGTCGAACAACTAACCGGCGTGCACGAACCGAGTCAAACAAGTCTGGTAGCTCAGCTCCTTCACAAAGTAGCCAGAGCAGCGATAGTGACAGTGGTTCTTCAAGCGATGACGAAGTTGATGAAGGCACCAAATCTAAAGCTGAAGTTGAGCAGAAAAGTAGTGAGTTTAACTCTGTTTATTTACTTTATTAAGCTATCCTCTGAAAAGTCGTGGAAAGCTTGATAATAGTAACAATAATATTTGAACTAAGTGAAGTAGATATTAATAACATATTTTGGGGCAAATGTTCATTATTAAGTATACCTACTTTTCAGCATCAGCGAATGATGTATTGCTTATTAGTCCATACACAGTCAAATCTGAAAACAGTTTTAGATCTGTTAACCGTCTAATGATAAGAGGTATAAATCTTATAAACCATATTAATCAAACCGATCCTTCTTTTAGCTAGGTTTCATTTAGATACATATGTGTAGTTCGCTTGTGCGGTTCGGCCTTACTTAAACACGCTTTCATCACTTAACCAATCCACTTCATTTTGAACAAGCGAATATTGTCTTTGATGTTTTACAGTTGTGTAAATATAAGGGGTTTTTTAATATTGGTTGGTATCAGTCAACAACAGACTGAACAAAAATCACCTATTCACTTTACCGCAAGCAGCTTAACTAGTTCATTTCGTGTAAAAATGCGTCTCATACCAAACCAGCATAAAAGTTTATCATAATGTAAGAAGAATAGTAAATTGTCGCACTACCCTATACCATAAGGTGATTATCACGGTAAAATCCAATGTCACTACAAATTGTACAAACTGTGTAGTGGTCCCCTAATAAAACTACCTGTTTCGGTTTAGGGACTCAGATAGTTCTCACAAATCGAATGATAACTACTTTGTGTGGTGCATGTAGATTTTGATGCCTCTTTACATCAATGTTTGTGTTTTTAAATAAATAAATAGCAAACTGTGCACATACAGGGGGTTTGAACTTGCGAATAGACGAGGCTTCCGTAAACCAGAGAATTCATCCCTGACAATTTCTGTACAACCTTTTAAAGCTTTATTGATGTTAATTCTATGCCCCGTTTCAATTACATATCATGCTACCGATGAACATAATTTTTTTACTTCTCATGTTTATCGGAGTGACAATTTACTATTCTTTCCATATTATGTTAAATTTTTATCTGTCCTTTCACATTAATCACTTTATTTGGAATCTTAGTTGATTGGTCTTATATTGATTTTCATATAAAATGCTTTGATGAGTGTACGTGTGGCTAAATTGTTCAAAATATACAACATGAATACCCCACATTTTCAGTTCAATTCCACCTTCCGATTATTTCTATTAAAATTTATAAAAGGGACTAATTGTTTTAAACCATGATGTCTGTCATAGCTAATAAGGATTATTTTCTACCTCATTTGATAATTTATTTATTTAAAGACATAAATATTGGTACAAAGGAGCACCAGATATATATGCTCCGCACAAATCTCATTCGATTTGTGTGAGGGCTATGATACTACCCAGGTGCCCAGACTGAAGCAGGTGGTTTTCTTAGGGGGCCACACACGGAGCCTTTGACCTAAAGGTCTGATCTATAAGGTAGTGGTACATCGTGAGGAGATGCAATCCCATGGTAGCCGGTGACCAACGATTTATTCATACACCATTTGTTCCCTCAGGATACTGAAGTCCATGTGCACCATTGGTTTGGAATAAGGTTTTTACAACTCCCCTAGGTGAACTTTCCATGTCCACCAACCCGGTTAAAGCACCGTACATTCGCTTTTCGTCCTCTCGATTTCGTAAACAACAGTATTGCGACGATAAGGCAGTGAGTAGGACTTCCCTGGTCGAGGCTATGTACGCATGGCCATGTGAGAGCATTTGGAGTGGGAGATCGGACTCTCCCCACTCTCGGCCGTACCAGGGCATTTAACAGTTACCCATAACCAACGTATAACATAGCACGAATAACTGTTAGCCCAAGTTGCCATACTAAATCTTGTACTTGGTAGTTGAGTCAATCTAGCTCAATTAATATCGTATTTATCATCATGTTGGATGTCATTATTCTCAAATAAACCTCTATCGTTTGTGCTTGTCCATAATAAAACCCTGATGTGTAGTGGTCTCAAGTTGTTAAACATTATTTATTTATAATCACGAAAACGAGTTTTCTACAATTTACAGATGAACTTGGTAATACTCATGATGTTGCAAGGTCTGAAGTTGACGAAGACGACGACGACGTACCCACTCCTACAACTGCTGAGTCTCCAAGAGGATGTAAAAATGAAGACTCTTCTGTTTCTATGATCATCGGCTCAATAAATGATACATCTGTCAAACATCCTATTTTTGGAGATCCTTCCGACGCTCCTCAGCCCAAGTGTGCAAATCCACCAAGATTGTTGCATAAAACTGCCTCTATATTCTTCCGAGCGTTACCTCCAACTATAAAGGAAAGCGAACTCAAAGAGGTTTGTTCTACTTTATAAATCATATGTTTCTCATAGTTCGGAAAAGTATTTATCTATATTTACGTTAATCTTATTTGGATAAAATTGTGAGTCTAGACATATGCTATCTGTAAAGTTATCGGGTAAAGTTGATTTGCTTGTATACAATTTTTGTAAGATAGGATTTTCATGAGATGAGTTTTGTACCATTGAAAAATAATCTACTAATAGCCTTATCAATTAACATGATGTATTTACTATACATTATTTCATTAATTTATTGAATCTACTATGCCAGGCAGGTCGGTTGAAGAGCGATAAAAGTAGAAGCAGCAAACCCAAGGTCCGAAGGCGAAGTCGTACTGCTGACTGTACAAAGGTGTGACTGCAGTAAGGTGTTTCCTTAAGACAACCAGCATAACAGCAATGTTGCCTTCCTACAAGGAGGGGTGGAGTTAGAAAAGGTCGACCCTAAAAATGCACACCTCGCCTTATCCCACGGATATCCGTCTCCAGCGGTAAGGTCCCGACAAGTACGGAGCTCACACAAAAATTACCCACAAAAAGGTCGTGTGTGACCGACCTCAAGCGGTTGTCACTTGGGCACTGCGGTCACGCTTTCAGGTCATTGGGACCACTTCTAACCCAATTTCCTTTTCAGGTACCTCTAGAAGAATCCTTCCATGGTGTGGGCAACCGGGAAGTGATAACTGCCCTCATACCTCTAACAGCACTCATGTTCACTGACTGACTAATTGAATCATTTTTTCAGTGCCTAACTTTTTCTATTACCGCTCATACTATCACTACCTGTGCTATTCTGGGATTTGACCCGACAATTTCATCTTGTTATGCTAATGGGTTATAACAAATTAAACTAATGTACACATGTTTCAGGTTCTACGTTGCGTTTGACTGATTTAAAATATAAGTGTCTTATGCCCTATCAACTAATCAACTTTTCGAAATTTTTAATTCAACTGGTTAATATCAGTCAACAACAGACTCAACAAACTTCACTTATTTACTTTACCGCAAGCAGCTCAACTAGTTCATTTCGTGTAAAAATGTGTCTTATACCAAACCGAAATAAAAAATTATCATAATGTAAGTAGAATAGTAAATTGTCGCATTGCCCTAGAATCAGTCAGTCAGCTACAACGTAGGACCAGGCATTGCCCTAGAATAAGAAATTAGTTTTTTATATTTCTAAAAAAAGTTACTGGAGTAAAATATCCTAGACTCGTTTGACTGCCTACTTCGTTGAATCTTATGTTCCCCAATAACAGGTAGTTAATGACGGTAATGCCAAATTTACCGCACACTATTTCAGTAGTTTTGATTCACCATTATAAAAGTATTTTTTGATACAATGTTGTTATCTTTCTGTGTAAGGTATATTTTGTTAATTAATATTTTTGTCAGCTAAGCAACACCGTAATATTTAAGTGACTATTTGTTATTTTAGCTTTGCGCTTCTCAACCTGGATTCATAAGATTGGCTCTTTGGGAACCTGTTCCTGAACGTCGATTTATGCGACATGCATGGGCTACATATGATCCTTCTGTTAACATTAAAAAGATATGTTGGGCGTTAAATACCAGTAGTTTATTACGCGAAAAGCTTGAACTTCCAAACGGAGAACTAGGTGCTACAGTTAATCGTGATTTAGCTCAGAGAGTTCGCCCTCTTACTCCTCTCACACGTCATAAACCAGTTATGCGACAAGATTTAATCTTGGCCGCGCAACTTGTTGCACGTCTAGATGCTAAACATAATCTATGGAGTCATTTAGAAATTCCTGATAGTACAAATGATTTGAATACACTTAGTAAGCTCAAAATCAATGGTGATTCAGAATTCAAGAATATTTTTGATTCTACAGCTCTGGAAATGGCCATTAAAAGCAAAAATCTATTACTTAAAAATTTAACAGATTATCTTGTCGATGAAGGTGGAAGTGAAGAAGAAGCACTTATAGGTTAGTTTAACAGTTCAACAAGATTTATTCGTTGCTTATTAATTGTGTTATGTTAATCCATTCTTATGTAGAATTTAGTTATAGACGAAGGGTTTAGTAATATGTCCTGTGTACTCATCCGTGAATCATCCCTTTTATCTTCACTATCCACGTGGAACAAGCACGTGGAACAAGCTTTTCGAGGCGACAGATGGAGGGCGGATTTGTAGTACTTCACTAGAGTCTTGAATACAGGTCTCGGATAGACAACAAACATCAACATTAAGACCTTCCAAAGACATAGCCAGCCCTATCTGTTGTCTGATATGCATTAGTGTGCGAACGTTGAAGGAAGCCAGCTTGAACGGCGTACGTGGTTTCAGAAAGACTGCCTCAGTATTCATTATCGGTGGAAGCATTCACTTTCAACCAGACAGTGACTGGAGATCGTTTAGATAGGACAGATTTTCCACCAAGAGCGAGCTGCTGCATAAGTTGAAGAGTAAGGTTACACAAATTGGGGATAAAAGGGGGTGAATTAGCGATATGGTAAGTAATAATAATAATAATAATAATAATAATAATAATAATAATAATAATAATAATAATAATAATGTAAATTGTCTTGCTTATAATAGGAGCACTGCCACGATAAGGCAGTGAGTAGGACTTCCCTTGCAGAGGCTATATATTCGCTGGCCATGTGAGAGCATTTCGAGAGGGAGAGTAGACTCTCCCCACTCTCGGCCGTACCAGGGCATTTTGGGGGACATGTTTTACGAATGTCGTCCCAGAGACTTCCACGTCGTGCATTATTTGCCGACCCTGGGACTGGTTGGAAAAAGCGGAGAGGAGGTCAGTGTATGACATGGTGTCGTGGCATGAAAGAGAGCTGCAAAGGGCTAGCTTCTGTTGGTCCTTCACGACTCCCTGGTTGGGGTCCGAGAGATGGTGCAACACAGTGGCTAGAGACGTTATCGGATATGGCTCAGAATAGAAGCCAGTGGCGATCCTGCTGCAACCTTCTTTTACTTTCTACATAAAGAATGGTTCTAACTTTCCTAACTGAAAGAGTCTTCTGGTTGTACATTTCAGTCCGCCTTATCTTTTCATCCTTTCCCTTCCTACTTTCATTATTTTGTGTGGCGCATATGTACCTGGTGCCCTTTTGTACCAATATATATGTGTTTAAATAAATAAATAAATAAATCACTATCCACTAACTATTTTTATGTCTTTTAGACACGTGACAATCAATGTACTCAATTATTCACTGTACAAGCTATTTTCTTTCACTTTGATGGTTACTGTAAGATCGATAAATGTATCATATGCTTTTTAGGAGGTGCTATTTTTGTCACAATTAAGAAATCTTGACTCATCAATATCTTATTATGAAGCCTTTTCGTTGTAGTTACCTTTCCACATTGTAATTTAAAATATGCTTATCATAACGATCTTTTGGTAAAAACACTTGTCTCATGTGACCATGTTTTGTAAAACAATGTGGCTTAGTAGTTAATGGATACGGCTTCCAACCAGGTCTCAGGTTGAAACTCTGCCTCATTTATTACGTTGGTTTGGCCAGCAAGTTATTATTATCCATCAACCCTCGCGGACCCTAGGTGTAACTCAAAGCTCCGAGTACATATTTGTATGTTGTTTCTTCCCGTAGATAAGATCTTCCAATGGTCACTAATTAAGCAAAATTTCCTTACGAAGAGGATATTGCAAATGGTTATCATTCTTTTTACTGAAACAAACGTACTGTGAATTCTATCGAAGTGTCCAACTATACGGCTAAGATTCGGGTGAAGTCGAAGTCCAACAAACAAAAATTTATCTAAAGAACGATTCTATTATTAAGGAATATGCACAGATTATTTAGAAATCTCAACTCATGAGGCGGTTAATGCGTCTGTGTTCCTGGAACGAGAAAGACTTCCAGTTATAACAACACAAAGATTAATTACAACATAAAATAGTGTCACTGAGTCTGTAGCTGTGTCTAAAGTCGACAAAACTGCTAACAGTTAGCATGAGGATTGGGAACGTATCTATGGAAACTGTTGTGCTTAAAAAGAAGATTCAAGGAATGGACAGAAATTATGGATAACAGTTAGAAAGGTTGAGGGAATGTAGTTATGATAAATGCAATAAATTTTATATAGTTGAGATCATGAGTTAATTGAAGCTAGACCACCATGAAAAACCTGGAAGCACTGGACGGCCGTTTCGTCATATTGTGGGACTCCTAAGCAGTGTGCATCCACGATCCCGCCTCGCGAGATTCGAACCCAGGACCTACCAGTTTTGCGCCAGAGCACTTAAGTATATAAAATTACTAAATACAATAAATATTATTATTTAATGTAAATACAGGACCAATAAACATGCGCTACATCATAAGCCCAGAAGTTATTAGGGATGGAACTATCTACTGAATATTAACAAGTAGTGTAAGGCGATAAGGGGGGGATAAGTTGGATAGGAGGAGAAGGACAATATGTTATCGGGTTTAACATGGACTAATTCCTCGTATTTTTACTGCCAACTTACGTAAATGTTTTATGTAATTCTTTATAGTGTTTCAATTGTATTTATCCTATTAATATTCATTATTTTAATTTCTTTGACGTTTAAAATATCCAGCGGAAACTCAAGCAGAGGCTGAAGGATGTGACAATAATAATAATAATAATAATGTAGTTGGACGTGTCCACACTGTAACATTGGAATCTGATCCTAATTTGGCTCGTACTTTAGATCTGTTAATACTCTATTTACGTATTGTCCATTCTATGGATTATTATGCAGGAGCTATCTATCCTATGGAAGATCTCATGCCTCATCGATGTGGAATTCTTCATGCGAGAGGTGACAGAGGAATAAATCCTGTTCCTGGTGCTCGTTCTAGTGGTTTAGCTTTCACTCAAAGAGAAATTAATGATCACCTTCAGGTATGGAAAAAAAGAATTGAAGACATTTTGCACCAAATAATAATTGAAGCGTGTTTAATTTTTTGTTGTACCGATAAATATCGTAACCGGTGGTTAGAGACTTTGGATGACATGGCTTAAAATCGTTTGTACTAGACCAGGTGCATTCGTTCTTTGTTATTGTCAGTCAGTCAGCTACAATGTAGAGCCACGCACATTTATGCATCGGTCCTCGTTAGCACAACAAGATGAACACCGGATTCATAGAAATAGTTAATTTAGTGGTTGTAGTATATAAAAGATAGGTTGTATATAAGGATATAGTATAGGAAGGAAGAACGTTATGAAGCAATTTTAATCTTAAGGTTTAAGGGAACATAAAAAGTGTATACAGCTACGCCATTGTGATCTATTCTGTGCCATATGTTACCCAGAGTCTCCAACCATTGATTAGAGTAGTGGCGCGGATCCCAACCAAGTAGTCTGCATCTACCAACGTATCTCAGACTGGAAGTTAATGACTTCAAGGACTGATGCCATGTTTTGGTTTGGCCGCCCCTAAAGTTTCTTCCATCCGTCTTCAACACTAGTCAGCATAGCGCGTCGTCGTAATCGGTGGTTAGGTATACGTAACAACACGTGGCCCAACCATTTCACTCGATGAAGATTCATGACCTTATTAACCGATTTGCCATCATTCCCTAATACCCTGTGTCTAACCTCACTATTGCTTACCCGGTGATCCCAGCAGATGCGAGCAATATTTCTAAGGAATCTATCGTCAAATACTGGTAACTTACGAGTATCTTCTACTATTAATGGCCACGTTCCACAGCCGTAAATTAGAACAGAGCGAACTGCTGTGCAGTATACTCGTCCCTTAATTGATAGACGAGTATCTCGTCTTCGCCATAGATGACGTAAGTTTGCAAAAACCAAACGAGCTTTTCGAATCCGTGCTGAGATTTCGTCAGACACTAACCCATTAGGGCTGATCAGACTTTCAAGATAAGTGAAGTTGTCGACGCGTTCGACTACTTCACTCCCTATCCTTAGTTCAGGTGTTGATGCAGGCCTGTCCTGGAGTAACAATTTACATCTATAGGGGGGAGAAACATTCCAAATATCCTGGTATTGTTGCTCAGTGCTACCAAAAGATTGCATTTTATTAACTTCTTCACCAAACAGGACTATGTTATTTGCCTATTCCAAGTCGATAAGTAGACTTCCTGGTAGATCAATTCATTAAAATTCAGTTATTTTCAGCAGCGGTATAAACCAATTGTAATGTCTGAGGATGTTTGACTTTACATTTTCCCTCTAAATTTAAAGGTGTTCTTATTCCAAGTGTAGTAGTAGCTTGGAATTTGATTACAGTACTTCATCTTCAATCAATGAGTTTCACATTTTCAACTCGTTCCATCTTTTGTAATAAACCTTGAATCACATATTTTTCAAACAGATCATTAACACTACATCAACTCAAGTTGTCAAGTTGCTATCATGCAAACTATGTTTTTTTGAGTTCTTAATTCGGTAATGGAAAGTCGAGTCTACATACCACTATCCAATAACTCCCATTACTTTTGTTTTTTTTTACATAACTTGGATCTGTTTTTATGAGGATTCGCTTAATCGACCCACGCTTTACGTAGTTACGATTGTCGATTATTACACAAGTGACATTTCAATAATAGATTTGTTCTCTCTTGTGGTTGGTTCATTGTTTTGATGAACTACACACCTGTCTATTAGTAAACTGATGTTAACGTATTTCTCTATTGTTTTCGTTTTGATTTCAACATTTTCATCTTAGAATTTCGCTTTAAAATTGCGTACTCTTATCGAGGTACCAAAAGATTTGACTGAAGAGGAAATGAAAAAGTTAGGTATGCGAGATCCTGAAAAAGCTGCAGAAGAATTTGTCGAAGCCAATATTCAAAAGAGAACTGGCAAGAAAAAGCCGTAAGTGTAGTTCTTTTTTCGAAAGTTAACAGAAAGTTATGTTTTGAATGTTTATTGATAAAGACTAATTGAAGTTTTGGACTACTGTTAAAAATCATCAATATCACCCAGCTTAAAGGAGGGTTCATGGTTAACGTTTACTGACTGAAAGACTTGATTGTGCAGTAGTTCACATTTCTGTGTTTCACAATCAAGTTGTGACGGGAGATGAAACTGCTTATCTGTCCTACACTACATTGGGTAGTAGAGATGCGATCAGTAAACTACTAAATATCGCAACTAGATGTTGGACTAAAGACTAAACAGGCATCAGATGATTACTGTATGAGTCATTATACTAGTTCACGTGAACCCGAACACCAATAATTGGGAACCAGATATAAGTCAAAGCAATAGTAGTATCTTGACACAGTGTCGGTGGTCAACAGAATTAAATCACAATAAAATCAGTTGTAGATAGAAAATAGTCTCTTATATTTACTATAGTTAGGTATGTTTATCATCGTTAATCACTTAATCATGGCTTACTTTAACCACCACTTACATATCAGAATCAAAAATTAGGATTTAATCACCACTAATAAATATAAAATTTAATTTGTGTAACTACTCAGCAATCTGTTATAGTCTATCTTATTACGACCCAGCTACTCTTATTGCTTAGCATTTTTGGACACCACTACGCTCGACAAGTCCCCATATCAGAGCACTGTTGAACAGGAATGTAATTATATTCCAATAGCAAGGGTGGATGGAGCTAGAAATCACAATAAGAAAAACATCAGTTTATTTATAATTTTCACATAAAAGGATTCTAAAGTCTTCTCCAAGTTTCCGCTAGCTCTGGTTGGTTAAGAAATAGCCAATTAGCCTATCTCAACGTAATCTTGCACGGAAAATGCTTTAATCCAATCTATGTCCTCCAATTGACCTAGTACGGCCAAGAGTGGGGAGAGTCCGATCTCCCACTCCAAATGCTCTCACAAGGCCATGCGTATATAGCCTCTGTCAGGGAAGTTCTACTCACTGCCTTCTTGTGGCAATACTGTTGTTTACGAAATCGAGAGGACGAAAAGCGAATGTACGGTGCCTTAACCGGGTTGGTAGACATGGAAGGTTCACCTAGGGGAGTTGGAAAACCCTGATTCTAAACCAATGATGCACATGGGCTTCAGTATCCTGAGGGAACAAATGGTGTATGAATCAATTGTTGGTCACCGGCTACCATGGGACTGCATCTCCTCACGATGTTTCAATGCCTTGTGGATCAGACCTTTAGGTCAAAGACTCCGAGTGTGGCTCCCTAAGAAAACCACCTGCTTCAGTTTGAGCACCTGAGCAGTATCATAGCCCTCACACAAATCGAATGTGATTTGTGCGGTGCATGTATATCTGGTGCTCCTTTGTACCAATATTTATGTGTTTAAATAAATAAATCTGTGTCCCGCTAACATAACCTGTTAGTGTAAGTAATAATCATGTACGTACAATAGTTTCATCAAAGGACTAGTTGTAGCATCAGTAGTAGTGTAGTGAACAGAACACGACTGGGGACAATCGAATGTATTTAAGCAAAAATTACAGACTATCTCAGTAAATTCTGAAAACCATACAATGAACAGTCAATTTGCAAATTAACAACCAGTTGTTTCAATCTTCACTGTTTCTTCTCTTACTCCATTGCTCATGCATTTTCCAAACGATTGCGCTTCATTTCAGCTCTTTGCTCATCGGTCTTCTACCCAAATACATTCTATATCTGACCCACACCATACACTACTTATATGGATATAAGTAGACCACACCACAGTAGTAGTAGTATACGCTTAATTGTTCGATTTCAACATATGGAATTAAGCTAAGTTTGTTTAGGTTGCTGCGTTCCAACGTTATAATAATCTAGATGGAGAATACTAAACAATAATCTGTTAATGTTATGTTTATGAACGTTTGTGATTAACAAGTGCCCTAAGCTGGGGTTTTGTATTTTAAAGTTGCTGACTCCATTGACTTTCTTAAGGTACATGGTTTTATAAAAAAAAACTTGTATGAGACAGTCTGGCTACCTCAATCATCAAGAATTAATCCTTCCATGTATATTTTCTTTATCAGTTTGTCGTCCTAAGTATGCATGTTTTACAGGATGTACTTTTTTGTTCAGTTTAGTAAATAATGAAATTACTTTATCCACACATGTGACGAAACTCTTTATTTTTAGATTCAAAGTTGTATGGGTATGTCCATTATCTGATAAGAAATTTCGTGAACCAATTTTTGTTCGTAAACATATATTCAATAAACATATGGATAAAGTTGAAGCAGCTAAAAAAGATAATGCAATATTCTATAATAATTATTTAAAAGATCCTAGACGTCCATCATTACCCGAGGCACCTTATCATTTATTAAATCAATATTATCCATCTTTAAATTCAAATTCAAATAATAATAATAATCATACATATAGAGGTCGAGGCTCTGGACGTGGTAATATAGGTGGAAATTATCGTGGATATAGAAATAATTCACTTCTTTCAACAGCACCAAGTTATGTACGAGGTGCTGGAAGTTTTCAGGTATGTTGTAGACATAAAACTAAATTTTCTTTTTAATACTGTTGATATATTGTGTCAATTTTGAATATTCTTTTTGGTTGGATATTCATATCTGTGAATTTGGAGGTAAAAAGTATTTTGTGAGCAGCTACTTATGTACTACTGTCTTGTGAAAGATCATATCTTGAGAAATTATTTTATCACATGAAATATAGTAACTCATAAGCTTATATTCTACTGTCCATCTGCTCTTCAGTGACTTTTTAAGTATCGCTTTACGGTTGAAAAATTCCATAAAAACATATTTAGACTGGAATTAATTGATCATAGGTTTTCCCCAATCATTAGTTGTTTATTGTAGAACTACTAAATGAGGAATGATGTAGTTTGAAAGTAGGGTACTATTAGGGGAAAACGGAAAATTGATCGATGAAGCTATATATATATATATATACCTTCCTGATGGATTAAGAGCTAGTAGAATAGTAATAATTAATGATTGAAGATGTTAGATGCCACGACACAAAGCTGATCATATTCGCACAGTTATATACACTTTACGTTCCTTTTAGTCTTGGGTTTAGTTTCATTATTTATTTACCATCCTTCGGTCACATTTTCCTAATTTTGGTGTATAGTTTGTTGTCCGTTCATCCTCATCGTGTTAATTTCACTCCTCTCAATTCACTGATATCTGGAACTTTGAGTAAATACTGATTCTTACCAGAGTTTTCGTAAATAATTATTAACTATACTACTACAGGATGCATTTCTTGTGTCATCTAAACTTGACGTAGTTGAATTTCTCGATTGCATATTTAGGATTTTAATATTGTTTTAATGGTGATATAGTGAACTAAAAATCGACTGTTGTCTATTCATTCTGACCGATTATCTTGATGTTTGAGAAAAGTCGTACATCTCGAACTAAACGACTTATGTCGGTACCAGTGTTGTAGTAGCTCTTCAAGGTTATATCATTATTACTAACTTTATGAATTATCTCATTGCTATTCAAACCGCGTATACTAATAATGATATAAGCATCATGCTCATTTAACAAGTTTGTGGCCATCCGTACTTAGTAGTTCAGTGGACAACGCTTTTCAATTTAATAGTGAAGGGCATTAAGTTCGAATATCAATCTATTAACATCAACACTAGGATACAAGTACATCCGTCTATTGAGTTCCAAATCAAGCGAAGAAGCTTTTCTTAAATTTCACTGTGAGTTGCAGTTCATTTGTTTCATAATTGTCTTGTAAATTCCATTAGTAAACTTTCGTTTCTCTTTGTCCAGGACTATTATGATGTGGCAGCTCAACAACAACAACACCAAGCTATGGCAGCTGTAGCAGCAGCTGCTGCCGCAGCTTTATATCCAAACGCTGCGACAGCAGCTGATTTGTATGCATTGGCTGCACAGGCAGGTGCACCTCGCACAGGTCTTGGAATATCTAGGTCGCGTGGTCAACGTGGTTCTTCACCATCTCATGATTTCAATCATCGACCATATAGTAGTAGTACATTGGATAATCGACGGAGACAGCCTACAAATTATTCGACAAATAGGTAAGCTACAGTTATGACTGTTATGTTTGTATATATTGAACTCTTAATACACTTTTTAGACGGTATGTGATGCAAGGTTGATAAGACACTAATAAACACTAAACAGTAGATTCCGATAAAATCTTGTACATAGTTGATTGTATATCGTGTGTCTTGTGTGTGGACCTCTCTATCTTTGTATTTCTTGACTGAATTTATCACGCTTTTCAAAATTTTTTGTATATTGTGCTATTCTTATTTGATCTGTCATTCTGAACAAATCAATGATACTAGAACTTGTTGTTCAATAAATCTTGTCTAAGCAGTTGTATGGCATGTCTCAATGTCACAAATGCATTTACTCTTTGACTTCTCTTATAACTTGAGTCCCAAAATCTTCGTACACCTTTTCTTTCTTTTCCTATATTTAGTCTTTACTACTGCTACTACTACTGACACTGTTTCTGCTTGTACTACTCTGAGAATTTGTCTAGACAATTTTGTGTCTCTGTGTTAACGTGATGTGGGAAATAAACACACATATTTCAGGTTCTATGTCACACATGACTGACCGACTATTTAATAGTCAGTTTCATATGTTAACATCTCGAAATCTCAAATTCTCTCTGTCCATTCGGTATGCGAACTGAGAATTATAGGTGTAATTACACAAAATATCAGCCCTGTTGTGGCTATCGATTTGATTTCGCTTGATGGCTTCTATCCAATATATATTCAGCTACTAACCACAGTCGTAATTTAAATTCATTTAGTATTGTTTGTTTGAATCTTCCCATCGATGTGTTAGGACTGCAACTGGTCAGTCTCTAATTGGCATATGTGCATACTGTGCGTATTGCCTCAATATAGCCTTAATTCACAAGCATGGAAACGCGCGTCCTAGATTCCACTGCTAGCCACTATCCATCGTTGCATACAGTCATAATTTGTCTAATACAGGTCTGTAATAATGCACCTACACAATCTGCAGTGATAGTTCTCAAGTTTTCATCCTGTGAGCATTCAGTTTCCTCATCAGATCACCCTCACTAATTTTGTAGATCGTTTTGACTTCAAAATGCAACATAATCGTGCACAATCAGCTGAAGGATAGACAACATCTATTCAACAGACTTACAGTGAAAGTAGAACTAGAGTATTATCATAAATGAGATATATATAATTGTAATTGGAATAAGAATAATGCTCCACAAGTTTTGTTAAATAAATCTTCGTTGACGTCACTTCTCGTATTTATTAATGAGACTATACAAAATAAAAAGTATCATGTGAAATAGAATCGTTCTAACCCCATTTAACCTTTTCTTAACTTTTAGACGTCCAGTCGGTGGTGGTGGCACTACAACCGGTGAACGAACAATGATATCATATAATGATTTGGATGATCCTGGAAATGATGTTCTTTAAAAATGAATTTGACTAACTAAAATCTAATCATTTTCATCGACTGTTACTACAACAACAACTGCTTTATTTTCTATGTTCTTGTTTTTTTTCCGTTTGTTTCTAAAGTTTACCACGTTGACACATTTTAATTGGAATATCATGTATATCTGAACATTGTGCATTTTCATATTCTTTTTTTCCCTTATATTAATTACAATAAGAAAAGTTCTATTAAAAATTATATCAGACTTCTCAATTTACATATACATAGATGTTCATACCATGGGACTGCATCTCCTCACGATGCTCCACTGCCTTATAGATCAAACCTTTAGGTCAAAGGCTCAGGGTGCAGCCCCCTAAGGAAACCACCTGCTTCGGTCTGGACACCCGGGCATTATCACAGTCCTCACACAGTGTGGCACATATGTATCTGGTACCCTTTTGTACCAATATGTATGTGTTTAAATCAATAAATAGATAATGTTGCTGTGTGAGAAACTATAATAATAATCCAGTCAATGGTAGTACTTTTAGAAGTTAAGTTGGAAAGTACTCTGAGAAATGATAGTTTGACTGATAATTCTTAAGTCGGAATTATACAACTACTGTCGACAAAATTAGTGGTTGTCAGTAGTATCATCGATCCATCACTTTGCTATCTTCAATCTGAGTACTAGAAAACTTGGATTGTTGATTATTTCTATCACATCGAACTTTGCTAGTATTTTTGAAGCAACTTGATCCTGTGATCACATCGGACATTCCAAATGACGAGCACACCCAATTGGTTAGGGTCTGACTTCATTTTCTCAGGAATAGTTGGAAAGTGTGGCTTAAATTCCTAAGCGACAAATACACATATGTATGAATAAGTGTTTAGTTATTTCTAAATCCAGTTGGGTAACAAAAAGCTTCCTTACTTAGTTGAGCCAGGTTGAAGGACGTTTTTAATTTGCTTCAGAATAACATACCCTACGACACAACACAACTTGTATATGTAGGAATTAGTGTAAATATACTTTTGAACAAACAGACCGTTAATATCAGTTAGTGAAAGACAAATTTGCGCCAAACACAAACAGGCATTACTCCTTAAGTTGTTATGTCTACGAAGTAAGCAAAGAAAATAGGAAAATATAAAGGCGGAGCAATAATCATACTAACTACATTACTAGCCAAACCTAAAAATAAAAGAATGACAATAAACAATTCTACAGACTAACTCCATCCAACCTATCTACAGTTTTGTGTTTTAACCAAACGGAATTCCCCAGTAACTGTTGAAGGCGATTACTGTACACTTGGATGAGGCATCCATGAGTTTGTGCATATTTATATGCAATTCGAAAACAATATTCATAGGCATACATCTTATCAAAGTGTTAACTAACAACATTGGAATGTAGATACATCCGGCTGATAAGTTGTATATATAACGAAACGTTCATCAAAATTGATCTTGTCACTCTAATACAGTATGGTGACCTCCAAATAAGTCAGGTTCTACGTTTTCCATAGTTTTATTATTCCCGGTAATATAAGAAGCTCTTCCCTGTTATTTTTCGACATACTTCTTATGAGATAATTACGGATCCATTAGAATCATCCATCCATAAGGAATTATCACGCGACGATCAACTAACCAATTTCTGAAACTAGATACTTATTAAAAGCAGAGGGTAGGGTTTCATGCGTTCAATTGTTCGAGGTGAAACTGATCTCTTAAAAAATCAATTGGAACCAGTTACTTTAGTTAGTTTATTATTCCAGAAAAGTGCTTGCAGAATGTTGATGGCCAGGCTATTGCTGTTCTCAAGAATTATCCATCTTTCATTGACATCATGAACCGATTTAAGTTAGACCACCATTGAAAACTTGGGAGCACTTGACGGTCGTTCCATTCTAGCATGGGACACTTCACCGACTTGTATTCACACCGCACGTGGGAATCGAATCCAGTGTTTTCAATCTCATTTTGGAATTCTGAACCTCTAGATCACTGTGTTGGCATCCAACGGTGTTTATGTCTAACCTCAATCAATCCGCGACATTACGCCATTATCTTTGGTAATTAACTATTTCACAATCGACACGTGTTATTTCTACTGGTTACGACTTCTTACTGGAATCCCGGAAATTTCCTCTCAAATCTAGTCACTGCTGAGTACGTGATAACTGTCAGTGAGAGGCTGTGGAGATTGTTGAATTTCAAATCTGATTTATTCGTCCATAATTTATAGTCTCTTGGCTACTATATCTCGTTGCTGATTTGAAAGAAGTGATGATAAATGTTTTGAGGATTCCCAATTATCTATGGTTTACATTATCAAACACATCAAGTAATTTTACATTAATATAAATAGACTTTTCAGTTAAAATATTATCTTATTGTTCCTTCCACTAATTATCAGATATCAATACATCTTTCTAAAACTATATTTATTTATTTAAAAACATAAATATTGGTACAAAGGAGCACCAGATATATATGCACCTCACAAATCTCATTCGATTTGTGTGAGGGCTGTGATACTGCCCAGGTGCCCAAACTGAAGCTGGTAGTTTTCTTAGGGGGCCACACCTGGAGCCTTTGACCTAAATGTCTGATCTACAAGGCATTGAAACATCGTGAGGAGATGCAGTCCCATGGTAGTCTGTGACCAACAATTGATTCATACACCATTTCTTCCTTCAGGATACTGGAATTAGCCCATGTGCAATATTGGTTTGGAATGAGGGTTTTCCAACTCCCCTAGATGGACTTTCCGTGTCCACTAACCCGGTTAAAGCACCGAACATTCGCTTTTCGTCCTCTCACTTTCGTAAACAACAGTAATGTCATGAGAAGATAGTGAGTAGGACTTCCCTGACAGAGGCTATATACACGTGTCCATGTGAGAGCATTTGGAGAGGTAGATCGGACTCTTCCCACTCTCGGCGGTTTCAGGGAATTTGGGAGCCTAAAACTATATAACTTGAAATGTTATCCAAATTGGTGTATTCATATTTCATATCATTCAACTGGTAAAAATGTAACTTGTAATTTATTTTAAGATCATTTAGAAAATTCATAAATTCACGGTTATATGTAATCTCAGATTGTGACATATGCTATTGATGTCGACAGATATAAGTAGTATATATTACCAGTCAAAAGTGGAATGTCTGGTTAGGCAGGAGGTTGAGAAAATCAAAGATGAAAGAACAAAGACCGAGTGTAATTGGTATGGAAGTGAAGGAACAACAAGTTGTGAGACAATCGATTGACACTTCCCAATAAACAATTCACTGTATGGTTCTCAGACTTTATCAAGATATTCTGTTATGTTGTATTGAAATACATTTGATTGTTCCCACTAGTGTTCTCGTTCACTACAAGATAATGATTCTTAACATTAGCTTCAAAAGTAGGAGATCTCTGGAATTCAGTATCTTGAATGTTCAGAGTGTCAAGCTGTAATCTAATGTAGAAGTCACAATTATAGTTTATATTTGAACAGTTGTAGTTGTATTGAATGTCTATCAAAAAAGAGAATGTATAGTAATCAAATAATTATAAGTATTACCTAAATAGATCATCAAGAAAATAACATTCAAAGGATATTGATATTGTATTTTGTTCAGAAAAAATAATCATTACTCCTATCAACACATTTTTACTTACTTACTTACGCCTGTTACTCCCAGTAGAGCATAGACCGCCGACCAGCATTCTCCAACCCACTCTGTCCTGGGCCTTCTTTTCTAGTTCTATCCAATTTTTGTTCATTCTTCTCGGCGTAATGTGTTGTTTGGTCTTACTCTTTTCCTATGACCTTCAGGATTCTATTTTCATATTGTGTGACTCCTCAGTAGTGCGCATCCACGACCCCGCCTCGCGAGATTCGAGGAGGAGCCGCACAATAGGACGAAACGACCGTCCAGTGCTTACAGGTTTTACATGGTGGTCTAGCTTCAATTGACTAATGATCTCATCTATAGAATTACAAAAATCTCCACAAACCCCCTTCTAATTATTTGATTTGAAACCATATGAATCTTTCATGATATAGTATAGTTTAGGCTGAATTGACTTCAGTGTATCGCTTAAACATTTAGATAGTATTGTAGTGCCGCGATTCGTTAATCGTTCGTTTCGATAACCGATATAATTCTAATCTTAACGGCGCGTAAAATCAGAAGACAAAGGATAGCAGCAACTACAGTTTATTGTCGAATAACTCAGGTCAGAAAGTTAGCAACACCTGAGCGAATGATAACGAGCGAGTGAACAGGCGAATAAGCGAAGGAAGTGAACGAGGCGAAAATGACATGCAATGGAGATGGCTGGGAAGCCAACTCGATTTAAGCAAGCGTTAATCAACATTTATAGTCGGACAAAAATGAGTGACAGACATACGATGAATGAGATACGAAGTGTACACATATATGCTCATATAAAAGTATAGTCAAGGTTAATAAGCAAATGATTAACAAGATCAAAATATGACTCATAATGGATAGGCGAATTGGCTTGGCCAGTAGCTAGGATAAAATATATGGGCTTAACAAATAAACTGATACTACAGTATGTATTTAGAGATATTATATTTGATTAAATAACTCCACCTGTAGCTCTTGTAGAGTTACTGCCTCTACATCAATAAGCCTCAACATTCACAAACGAAAAAGCAAGATTCTCAAATATAACATGGAGAATACCAACCCATAGCACTTGATAGAGATACTCTGGAAGATGTGGAAACATTCACGTACCTGGTCAACATCAAAGATGAATAAGGAGGATCGGATGCACATGTAAAGTCGAGGATTGGCAAAGTGAGGACCGCATTCCTACAATTGAAAAACATATGGAACTCAAAAAAAAACTGTCAAATAATTTATACGAATATTCGTCAAGGTTAGAACGAATAGTTTGACAATAATTGGGCGCCGAGTATAGAGAATTCATTCTATGTGAAAAAATTATATTTGAAATAGTCTCAGCAATTGAAATTTAAATAATTCCAACGTTTCGTCCAGCTAACTTGTCTGGACTTCTTCAGGGAAATAATCAAAATCAGTCCAGTGCTTCCAGGTTTTCCATGGTAGTCTAGCTTCAATTGACTCATGATCTCAACTCTATAAAATATATAGTGTTTTTACAATCATATCAAAATCTCTACTACTTTTTAATCCAATCCTATTTGGATGTCGAAGTTCTTGTATAACAGAATAATAGGAGTCAGTT